GCGGGAACCCTTATTATCCCAGTAATTTGATCGATGCCGATTATGATAAAATTGTTACAGCAGGACGTTGATGCATGCTATCAACTCCTCATCGCCGACCTTGAATATTTCAGGTTTCAGCTGCAGCAGCCTTGCTGTTCTCCAGCCGGGGTGATACATTGACTCCATCGTCTTCGACTGTGGATTCGGGTTCATCTACTCAATGTTTTCAGTGCTGTTACCATTCTGCATCAACAAGTTAAATTAGTATTTAGAAATTTGTTAGTTGTTCTTTCGCTTTTAATATATGTGAGTACATACGTTGTCAGCGTCGATATGTAATATGTGGGAAATGTTGACATACTGAGGGCGGTGTGTGAGTATTGCGATCCCACTGGGAAAATAGGTAAGCACCCTACGAGGTAAGCCATGTTTTCTTTCAGTTTTTAGTACCAAAATTGTCATCATGGCCAATGTCATCGACTAGTAAAGCGCAAAATGAACACCTCCGACGACACATTACGTTGTCAGTTGCAAAATAACGTGTAGCCGAAGTTATTTCCAAGTACCGAACTACTCCGAGCGACTGCTCTGCATTACACGTAACTTACTTTGTAAAGCGGCTCAGAAGTATGTCTGATACCAAATGTACATTCCAAATTCCTACTTATATAAGGCGGCCACGTCTTTGTTAAAGTAAGGGAGATTCGTCACGTTACCTTACCCCTTACCACTTCCCTGCCGAATCTCCCTTACTTTAACAAAGGCGTGGCCGCCTTATGTAAGTAGGCATTTAGAATGTACATTTGGTATCAGACATACTTCTCAGCCGCTTTAAAAAGTAAGTTACGTATAATGCAGAGCGGTCGCTCGAAGTAGTTCGGTGCTTGGAAATAACTTCGGCTGCACGTTACTTTGCAACTGACAACGTAATGTGTCGTCGGAGGTGTTCATTTTGCGCTTTACTAGTAGATGACATTGGCCATGATGACAATTTTGGTTCTAAAAACTGAAAGACAACATGGCTTACCTCGTAAGGTGCTTACCTATTTTCCCAGTGGATATATATATAGCGAAGATGCGGGTTGTGATTTCAGCTTTTCGAAGACGAATCTTCCTTGCATATTTCTGAAATAATAAGGAATTCCTACTAATGTGTCTGCATTCGCGCAACGTGGAACTGGAAAAGTGTAACATGCACTAACAAACCCATATGGAGTCTTCAGTAAAGGCAGACACGGAGCGAGCTTTATTGCAGCAACGTTTAAAGGACTTTGATTTGAGAGTATGCACCTGGAATGTTCAGACCTGTCCTCGGGAATACTAGCCCTTACATCCCCGCCATCAAAGAAATTTGATAGACGTGGCAAGGTAGGAAAAGCATATCATTTATTATGGAACGAATTTCCGTCATCCCTTGTCAAGCATATCACTTTACCAAATTCGGTGTTGGATTTGTGGTGGGACTGGTGTCGTTTATCCCTGAATTGGGTGGCACTAAGGCTAATTGACTTGGACCGGTGCTGAAGCCTGCTGCGCTAAATCCCAACATTAAAGCATCTTCAGGCAGCAAGACTCCATATCGGCAAACAGGAAAAAAACACGTATTTACATATAAAAATTTTAAGGCGGATGAGCAATTATTGGCCAAATTCAAAATTCAATTTGTGGGCGTAGAGGTATAGCTGAAGAACTTTCGTCTGCATCATCCTCTTTCATTTTCAAAAATAAAGCGTGGGGTTTTGGAAAGTCTTGTATACGTAAGTTCCGTTATTTCACACAAATTTTTGTTTGTGGCTATACTCTTAAACCTTCTCCGTTCCAGTTCCGTTACATTTTGCAACCATTCAAATAACCAGTGACTGTGTTAAGTTTTTGGAGACACCTCCGAGGATTTTCTGGGTGGTTTTTAGGTCATCCGGTAACTTTAAGATCCAAAACTACATTCAAATCTCACCTTTGCTTTTCATGAATGCCTGAATTATACCGTTCAACAAAGTTTGGTCGTATTTTATCTCAATAACGGGGCCAACCTCATCTTATAGATTTTTTTATGGAAACATTTTGTGAATGCAGTTCAAATCAGCATCAAAAAATCTATAAGATGAGGTCGGTCCCGTTTTTTAGATAAAATACAAGCAAATTTTATTGAACCGTGTTAAATTTTATTGAATAGTGTATTGAAAAATTAAAAGGAAAATATGGTATGGCTTGATATTTATTATAAAAAAAAATGCATACTCGTTATGGCCTCTGGCAACTCTCAAAAAAAATCCGTTTTAGCTCCGTAACTAAGTAGTCTAGTTGTTTAAAATAATTTGAATCACTGCCGGGTAATTATTATGATTGGGGTTAGTAACCTCTTGCAAAAACATTTCAAATCCCTAGGGTCCAAATTATCACACCATATGCAAGTATTTGCAGAAGAAGTATGTAGATAATAGATATTCGTAGCTTTCTATTTTATTATTCTTTATTCAAGAGGAGATAATGAACTTTCGATTTCAAGTGCGAGTAAACAATTCCAGATGCCCTTAACAAAAAGCAGAATGATGCAGAAAAGTTTAGTTCGACTTGCGTACGAGTATGTATGTACATTCGGGTGGTAAAAAATAGAAAATCTCCCCCTAAGATTTTGCTATACCGGTAAGATATACCCCTTTTTATTTAAAGTCACGACATATTTGGAGGTCACACAAAGCGCTCAAAGGTTTCCATGTATTGTAAATGGAAGAAAACTAAAACTCTGTTTATCTTCAGGAGACTTCCAATAATTATACCTAATTGTTTATTTTACCATTTTTTATACTAAAGATTTTTGGAGGTTTTTGGGGGACCTATAAAAATAGTAATATTAGAAAAAGGTTATCAAAGAATTGGATTGCTAAAAGTCTTCCGAACAGAAACAGAGTTGATCGGTCGAAAAATATATATTTTCTAGAACTCTATACCATTTCTATAATTTTTTTTTTTACTTTTTGATTTCAAATTAAAAAGGGGGTATATTTTTTATGGTATTGAACAATTCTAGGGGTGAGAGTATTAAAATTCCGACTTTATTTTTTTTTTTTTCCACCCTAATGTACATATGTATGTATCTATATACAATATGTATTTAAAATAATTTGCGTATAAAAGTAAAGAAGCAAGCTGATAGGACGTTTTACCACAACCGAGTTTCAAACAAAATGAAGTGCATTATTTTGTTCAGCGCGATCGTAATTTTAGCAACGCTTGCAATTGGTAAAAAAATCAATCGCGAAAACTACCTTTCATAAAAATAATCAATATCCTATTTGATTTCAGATACCAGTTACAGTTCTGCTGCGACTTCTAAGCCTTTTGTACGCAGTCGTTATAGCAAACGTTGGCGAATCGTATTGACCACCGAATCAAATGCTAGCAACAACACTTTAACCACAGATCCTCAGAATGCTTTCGCAGCTGGTATGAAATTCGGAGAAACGACTACAGTGAACAACGTTGCAATCGTTGGCGATACTACGACCATTGGACACCCTGTAGAGGTGCCCAGTACAAAGTCAATTGATTCAAAGAGTACGCTTTTAAGGGGTCCACATAGCACCACAACCGAACATCCTAGACACCATGGGCCAAATGGTTTGCCATTAGACTACGACTACTATAGTAATGGTAGTGAAAATGAGGAGGAACCAGGACATAAATAAGCTGTAAAAACCGGTTTATATAAATTGAGTGAAAAGTGTTGATTCAATATTTAAATACTTGGCTTTAAATCAGAGAAGGGCAAACTCGCTATCACACACATGCGTTTGTGTGCGAAGCAGCGAAGTCTTGCTCAATAGCAATAGAGCAGCTGAATTCCTCTTTTTTTTCAAATTATTTGATCTCTAAAATGCAAATTTTTTTTTGATTTCTTTTAACAAAAATTTTAAATTGACAAATCCATTTGCATGTTAAACTTTTTTTATTCAAAATAAGCAAAATCAGATTTTGGTACGTTCCCCTAACTCAGGAGCCTAAACGCTGATTGATTACGGGGCCTTGAAAAGGACGGATCGATGCCTCTGCATGTAAGCAAATTTATCAAGAAAAAAAAGTTCCAGCAATTTTTATTTGTTTAATGTTAAATTGTAATATTTAATATTTTTTTTGGAATTCACATGGCACCTTTTGATCTTTAAAAAAATGTGAATAACTTTTTGACGCTTTAGAGACCAGAAGCATCATCAAAATACAATTTTGCTCCACGAACAAGTTTTACTTCAAATACTTTAGCTTCCGAACACTATCAACAGCAACTGGCGGCCAATTCCTGTTCATCACTTTACATAAAAATTCGATTCTGTTTTCAAATGTAAATTAATTTATCAAGAATTTTTTCTCTGGGTAAACTTTTTTTTCACAAATTTTGTGGCTGTGCAAAAGAAAAGTTGGCCGTTTTTCTCAAAACCATCATCTTGTGATAAAGAATGTCATTGTCTTCAACTCCCAATAATTTACCAAATAATTATCTGCTAGATGTTAATGGAATAGCCTTTAATGATCGAGAATCGCTTAAAGTGATATAACGAAACTTTCACTGACATTGAATTTTTGATTTTCAATTCACGGTTTCATAAAACCAGAATTGGCCCCCAGATTTGATTTTCTTTGTCGATCATCGCAAGATGCACGAAGACGATGATAGTTACATGTGTCGACGTCGCAGCAAGCAGCATTTTGAAGCCCAATTACATGTGTTTGGAAAATCAGAAAATGCCCATCTCTGCTTTAAATAAATAACCTACAATAAAATCCGCTTGAACCCGTAATTTTTTAATTAAATATTCGCTGCGATTGTAAAAAATTTTTTATTTTTCTTTTTATTTTTATTTTTTATTCAAACTCAAACAATTTGTGTGAGGTTTGCACTATTTATTTAAGTGGCGTATGTCGGGAACTGTACCCCTGCAAAAATCGCGACTATCCATGCATGCATGTAAAGAGTACTCCCGAAGGACCAAGGAGTACTCCAAAATTAACCACAATTCATATAAAAAATATGGTCCAATTAACATTGCGATGTCCTAGGGCAGGACAATGTACTCCATCTCTGCATTACATCAGAGTAGCACAAAACTACTCCCAACATACTCCAATGACATTATCGTTATATTTTTTCGTTTGTACACGCTTTTGTTCTTCACTTCGCAGATGCTTTTTTTGAAATTAATAAAAACCAGAAAAAAAAATAAAAAATTACATGTTGCCTCTGACGACAATCGAACCCGAACATGCTGAGAGCTAAGAACTAACATCTAGCATCTCTACACGCTCAGCTACAGCCAGACATGCAAATGTACTTTCAAATGCTTAACTTCAATCACATATCGTTAAAACACGAGCAGTGATCGGGTAGCAATAAGCTGGTGCAGAGACACGAGTTGGTCCGCTAAGCATGACAGAGGAGCACTTTTGTAAGTACTCCAATATACCACAAATAGACTACATGGTCCAACGATTTTTGCAGGGACTGCATGGATATCGATCAATATCGATTTGCGCAACTATACATATGTGCTAGGGATGTTTCGAATGTCATATTTTCGGAATGCGAATGCGAATGATAGGAATAACATTAAGTTTATTACTTAAAAATTTTGTAAATTATTAGAACATTGAACTAGTGCTTAACCTATACAGTGTTTAAATGTAGTAGTCAAAGTTCAAAAGGGGCATATTATATTTTTTTTAATGTCTGAGCATTGACATGCGGTCCATATTTTGCGCCGATTGATATTAGACTGCAATCAGAATCGTATTTTCGAACTTTCGAAATTCGTAACAATTGCATGCCTAAAAACGAACGAGTAAGCTTTTTTGCGTAATTTTGTACGAAAACAATTCTGTGTCGGAGGAGAAATAAAAGAAGTAAATCGATGTGTGTTTGCAGGAAATATTGGTGGTGTTCATTTTGTATGGGCTTGGGGGAAAAAGTGACCACTTCTGCATCCCGATAAATATCGATTACAAAATCGATAACAAAATCGATAAATATCGATAACAAAATCGATAAATACCGATAACAAAATCAATCGATGACTATCGGTAAATATCGATAACACAATCGATAAATATCGATAACAAAATCGATAAATATCGATAACAAAATCTATAAATATCGATAACAAAATCAATAAATATCGATAACAAAACCGATAAATATCGATAACAAAATCGATGAATATCGATAACAAAATCGATAAATATCGATCAAGAAATCGATTTATATCGATTCCAAAATCGATAAAGGTCGATAACAAAATCGATAAATATCCCCTGACAAACAAAAAATTTTCAGGTAAAAGTGTCACCGTTGTGGAAATATTTAAATTTTTTTTCAATTAAAAAAAAATCGTGCCTTTTCATGTATTTTCTTTAACTGCATCTACAAACCAGGCTGTACTTAGTAAATTTTTTATGTAAAATACTTCCGGATAGTTGCTTCTCCATACTCAAATGCAATGTAGTTAAAATATCATAAAATTAGGACTATTTTGGGATTTTTAACTTTTTGATATTCAGCCTCGTTGCGAGAGTCGTGCCAAATGCAAGTCGTTTTTCGAGAGTCGAATCGTATCGAAAATTTAGCGTCATTGCCTAAAATTTCCACTCGACTAGTGTATTAAAACGGAAGAACTTGGCAGCACTGCATAGTTTTCGACAATTTTCGTCGTTTACTTATTTCAGCACGACAGTAGACAATGCTAATGTTGTCGAGTCGTACAATTCAGCCTAATTTACAACTTACGCAATGAGGCTGATTTTCTTCCCTAACTTTGACTATCTCTGGTGAAAAAAAAAATGTACTGAGCTATAACTTTACGTTACATAAAAAAATTGCTCATTTAATAAAGATTTCAGAAAGGTGCCACTCTTACTGTTTCGAATAGAAAAAAGAAGTTATATCCGCTTTTGTGGGCAAAGGACTGAGACACGCTAGAATGTATTTAATAGATTTAAATTTAAGTTGCTCTTGTTACCGACCAATGACATGCTAAATAGTTCAAAGGTACATTATTACCTGCTCCTGACATTATTTTATGTTACTTACCGGAATAGTGAGGGCGGATTTTGTGAATTTGGACCCTTCGAACATTAGGGGTATTCTCGAAGTCTTGCACGATGCACGGATTGCACGAAATGCAAAAATACTATTCCAAATTTCGAAGAGTACGAGAACACCCCATTGCAAAGTGGTAGCATGCATGGGGAGCAAGCAGCGAAATTATGTATCAAATACAATAACAAGAGACAGCAAAAAAAAATTAAGTGAGCGAGATGAGAGGAATGAGAGAAATATGTAGCAATTCCAACAACAAAACAACTAGCACAGGGTCGCTATTATCTTGCTATGCTATTTTGCAAAATATATACATGGGTTTCGACGTTGCATATTTTGCAGCGATAGGAAATGTTGTTTCCCATGAATTTTCTTGTTGTGTGTTTGCAATTTATGCAATCCGTGCAATCCCTGCTACGTGCAATGGCTTTGCAAGATTTGGAGAATACCCCTATTGTGTTATTAATAGATGAATATGCGGCTATTCACCTAACTTGCGGTGAAGCTTGCTGTAATGCCAGAGCTGCTCAAAGACTCTATGCAAAGCGATACCCCAATCGTCGGCATCCGGGTCGTGAAGTATTCGCCCGGACCCATAGAGAAATATATGAATGTATGTGATTTTTACACCTTTCTTGTTTGCTTGCTTGTTAACTATCATTTTTCACTTTTTTAAGGTCGATGTTGAAGTTGTGTTAGAGAAAGTGGAACTAGGTCCATCGACTTCAGGGAGAATGATGGAAAGACGGACTGGAATACCAAAAACTACAGTTTACAAAGCTTTAAAAAACCACCGATTTCATCCCTACCACATTCAACGTGTTCAGGCTCTGCAAGAGAGAGATTACCTGTCGAGGGTTAGATTTCGCAGTGAAATGTTGTGAATGCATGAATCAGACCCCAACTTTTTTAATAAAATAATTTCGAGCGATGAATCATCATGCAAACGTGATGGTTATTTTAATTTACATAACCTTCACAGTTGGCAGATAGACAATCCTCACCAAATGAGATAAGATCGTTCGCAGTACCAGAACGAAATGAATTTATGGTGCGGTATTTTTAATTGTCAGATATTGGGACCTGTGGAGCTGCCGCCAACGCTCAACTCTGACAGTTATTTAGAGTTCCTTCAGGAACGGTATCCAACTCTTTTAGAAGATGTACGGATGCCCTGCTCACTACGGGCGTGAAGTAAGAGCTAATTTAGACGAAACTTATCCTCGCCGATGGATTGGACGATACGTTGACTGCTCGATCGCCAGACCTGAATCCATTCGATTTTTCCGACTTGGGCTGTCTTAGGACAAAATTTATTCAAAAATAATTCAAAACGAAGAGCATTTCCCGGAACAAATAAATGGAGCTGCTGCTGAGATAGCCCAATTTAGTTTAAGATCTCCATAAGCGTATTTTCTTAAAAGGTGCCAAGCTTGTATTAGAGTAGAAGGTCGCCAATTCAATAAATGAATAAGTTTTTCTTCAAACAACTCATGTATATTTTATTTCACGAGAACCCATCCTTCACAAAAAATATTGATATATATATAGCCCCTGTTATAGACTCTAGTCCGAATTCCGGTAAGTAACATAAAATAATGTCAGGAGCAGGTAATAATGTACCTTTGAACTATTTAGCATGACATTGGTCGGTAACAAGAGCGACTTAAATTTAAATCTATTAAATACATTCTAGCGTGTCTCAGTCCTTTGCCCACAAAAGCGGATATAATTTCTTTTTTCTATTCGAAATAGTAAAGAGCCTGTCAGACGTGGCAATATTTCCGTCTTTCGCACGCAATTCGCTGTCAAATTGAGAAAGAGAAATTTTATTTAGATGTGTGAACAGCCAGAATGATCTTTCTGTCACTTTTCGGAAATCAGTTTCGGAAATAAAAGTTGCAAGGTGTGACTGCAGCTGCAAGAGCGAAAATCGATTTCGGAAATATATTTCAACTTGCTCGTGCTGCACTAGCAATTTTTATTTCTTCTGCAAGTGCTGTCAAACTAATCGAGTGTTGCCGTGTGGCACTGATCGTGAATTTGTGTAAAATGATAAAAAATATTGTTTAATTAAACATCTGAAATGCTTGAAATGTATTATTTTGCTTAATATACTTAATCCTTAAATTATTGTTCACACGGCAAATATGTTAATTATAACCTATATTTTGTAGTTTTTCGCGTTTTCGTTCTCGCTTTTACAAGAGAAATAGCAAACAAACGACAACCCCACCGCCCATGGTTGCATTTTAGTATCGAGAAAGATTGCCAGAAACTCATTCGCTGTGTGATCAGCCAAAAAGCGATTTCAGAAATTTTTCCTGAAACTCGCCTGTCGGAAATAAAACCCTCTTTCGAAAGGCGCTTTCCATGCAAGGTGTGACTGCTCATGCAACAGATTTCTCAATTTGACAGCCTTTCCGAAATTTATTGCATCGAAATATATTGCCACGTCTGACACGCTCTTAAGAGTGACACCTTTCTGAAATCTTTATTAAATGAGCAATTTTGTTATGTAAAGTAAAGTTATAGCTCAGTACATTTTTTTTTCACCCGAGATAGTCAAAGTTGGGGAAGAAAATATCAAAAAGTTAAAAATCCCAAAATAGTCCTAATTTTCTGATGGTTCCTTAATATATTTTAACTACATTGCATTTGAGTATGGATAAGCAACTATCTGGAAGTATTTTACATAAAAAATTTACCTAAGTATAGCCTGGTTTGTAGATGCAGTTAAAGAAAATACATTTTTTTAATTAAAAAAAACTTAAATATTTCAAAAACGTTAACACTTTTACCTGAAAATTTTTTGTTTATCAGGGAAGAAACGTCAAGTTGGAAGAATACTGCGAACAGCGAGAGAAAGAGAATGAGCGATGAACTTCAAAACGTTCTAGAGTTGCCATGAGTGCGAGCGCAGGTATATAAGGGCGCCACCAGACACCGGAGTGACTTAGTTACAAGTCAGCAAGCTACAAGTAAAGTGAGCAGAGAAGTGAGTTGCGAATAAGCAAGCTATAAGTTTAATTGTGTTAACAAGTTTAGTGAAGCGTTGTTATTGCTTTAACAAGTATTGTAAAGTGTTTTTACTGCATTAGCGTGTATTGTAAATTGTTTGTTGTACAATAAAGTTAATTGTACTACAATTAGCATTTATGTAACAATCCAGAGATACGAACCGAAGCATATTTGGGAAATTCCTCGAGGTTTCAAGGATAGTCGTAACAATAGCCCTGTTCGCGTACGCACTATCCAGTAAATAGAGTACTAATTTTACTGGTCTTTTACTGGATGTCATTTTCGTACGCAAAAACTTGCAAGAAACTAGCAAAAGAGGGGAAATTGAGAGAGCAAAAATTACAGCTGAACTTGCAAATTTTACTAGATTTTTACTGGATAAATTTTTACTAACAACTATTTGCTAGTAAGAAAAACAGCTGATGGCATGACGCTTAATGTTATTCACATTAATAAAATAATTGTTTGTGGTGCCTTTAGAGTTGCAATAGACAAAACAAACCTATTTAAATTTATAATAAGATGGAAAATACCATGATAAAAACATAACAAGGTAAAACCATTGAGAGGCAGTCTGACGTTTGCCAACAATATAATTTTAAAATCAAAACTCAAACTCACACACACATTCTCATTTTCAATCTCAAACAACAACAATTGTGAACAATTTAAGTTTTTTATTTTCAATTTTATATGATTTTAAAATGTTAGCAAACGTCAGAAAAAAATCATGGCCGACGAAATGAGAGAATGAATTTACCTTGTAATGTTTTTATCATGGAAAATACTAGTTTTCTAAGAAAATTGCATCGGAAAATAACAAATTAATCAACTGTTCATAAAACTAGCAACTTCTTGCTAGTTATGCGTTTTCGTACTTTCTTGCATATTTCACTCATTGGGAGTAACATTGGCTTACTCTCCGAAATTTGGTTACTGGCAAGTTACTGGATATTTTTTGCTGGAGAATACGAAAACACAACTAATATGTATGCGAGCCTACAATCGATAGTTTGTTTCCGATATGGGCAGCCGTTTTTTTGCAGGGTGTTGTGCCAAAATTTAAAAAAAAATCGATAAATCGATCTCAGAATCGATGTTTTTCACCTTTATCATGGAATCATAGCTATTGGCAACTCCTTGAATCAGCTGATTCTCAAAATGTCAGGTACATAAAAAATGTCATGATTCAATAATACAAGGTTCGATAAACTGACAGTTGTCTCTCTCGCACCGCTCCCTTAGCAGTGGCACCGTGTTGCTTCTTTGCAAATTTACATGGAAACAGTGTAGCTTTGGTGTTAAATAAAGGTATAAGCTTTTGTGCAATATGTTTATTTGTATATGCATATGAAGCATATTTAACTGATGAAAACATAAGCATTGGATATTTACATCAGTCTAATAGTAGTCTTATTTTAATTTTGAGTCATTTTGCAGTTTTTATACGGCTAAACAGCATATAAATTACGTAATTCACGTAGATATATCAATATTACGTTCAACATTTCGTTTAAAATGCTAGATTTCCTGCAAATACATTAGAATTTACGAAAGGAATTTCACTTCTAATTGACTACTTTGCGTACTTTTCTACTACCATTTTCGAAACAAGGGATTGCATTCTTGCCCTTTCTCTGTCCTTCGTAAATGCAACCTTTTGTAAGGGAGTGTCAAACCGCAGCTGTCAATAATTATCTAACCTTGTATTATTGAATCATGAAAAATGTGACAAAAAACACTACAAGACCATGACAGCAATAAACAAATATTTAATACAAGTATGAACGTATCAAAATTTGTTCCAACAATCGCACAAATATCTAGTTTCAAACATGTAACAATGCGCGCTCAGCAACAATACTATGCTATCAGGAACCTATCCGCCTGGATAGACTGCACATATTTAAGCCGGCACCATCAATTTTCGTGTAGGTATGTGGGGTTGGGGCTCGGTTTAGCTCGTATCAAGGCACATGAAATATGCCTTGGCTCATATACATACACATATTTGTACATAAAACAAGTCAAGTTTTAAACAAACCCATTTAATTACTTTGCAGTAGTATACCAAAGGCAGTGCAAGCGGGCAGTTTTGTAAGCTATAGACAATACTCAACAGTGATTGCGCAGAAACAAGTAGCAGCAAAGAAAAAAATGGTAAGAAAATTGTGTCTAGATAATAAATCTAAAAGATAGAGGTACAAAACCACTTGTTACACACACATATTTCGAAAAATTATGGATGTGACTATTCTTTTAAAAAAAAATACATCGCTTTTAGTAATCTTTATCTGCCATGAATCTCGAGGTCACTTTAAAGAGCAACAGTGATTAATAAAGTGAAAGTCTATATACACAAGTTTCATGGCTTTTAAGAAGTAATAAGTACTTACATATGTATGTATATACACATATTTTTTTAATTCGTCGAAAAAAGTAAAATGGTCTTCAAGCACCTATTTGATTATTGATTGATATTTGCCTTGTTTGCCCTAAAGTTCAATCTCCGTTTAAAAATTAAATATTCAAACATTTAATTATCTGTCCTCTACATTGCGAGTCCCAAAATAGAATTTCTATCGTACAATCATTAACAAGTTTTTCAATAAATAATATCCCTCATTACTAACATGTTTTAATATTTACATATAATGCTCTATATTCAGACTAAACTCACCGAACAAGAACGATCAGAACTACTTCAACCTCTTCTGGATGCTGGCTGGTCTCTGGTGAATGGTCGTGACGCCATTTACAAAGAATATTTATTTAAGGATTTTAATGCTGCTTTCAGTTTTATGTCCGGTGTTGCACTGCTTGCCGAAAAACTGAACCACCACCCGGAGTGGTTCAACGTTTACAATAAGGTGCAAGTCACAATGTCTACACATGATGTTGGTGGTCTTAGTGCGAAAGACATTCGCGTCGCAAAATATATGGAGGAACAGGCCAAACGCCTAATTTAATTTAGTAATGAAATATATATTGTAGAATTTTGTTAATTATTCAGAGTTGTAAAATAAAGGAGAAATGTAAACTTAAGCCAACTTTGTACATCGTCATCGTAATTAGTCAAGATGTTTTATATACACTTGCTCAGAATCTCATATTCTGCTTTCTCCAATATGTCAGGCGACGTCTCATCCAAACCGTAGCCAATAGCTTTAAAGAATGCCGTAGCATTGGTATTGTTTTTCAGTACCGTTAACACAACTTTGTCCATATGCCAGTGGCGAGCACACTGTTCCAGTGCATTCATCATAAATTTGCCAAGTCCTTGACGCTGGGAGCTGCTTTCTATCTGCATTTCGTAGCTGAAATGAAATGTGCCACATTTAATAAATCCACGATTTTACTAAACACGTATGCTCACCAGTAAAGCACGCTATGGCCGTAGTCCATATCAAAACGAAACATGGTATATGCCACCGATTCTCCACTCTTGTCTGTTGCTACTAAATAACGTGCCCACTTTTTATTCAAGTCATTTTGTTTTACCTTTGGCTGCCACCCCATTTCCAAAGCTTTATAAAACGGGCTCACATTCCGCTCCGCCAACTTAAATGCCCATTTTAATATTTTTGCGTCCATGTCCCCTTTTGCCCGACAATATAGTTTGTATTCTGCGCCATTCTTTGCGGTGAAATGGGACGTGTCTGGCACAGATTCCAAAGGGTTCTTAGCCCGAGCTGCATTTTCAACGTTTCTCTGTTGATTAGTCGTAGAATTGGCGTTCGTCATCTTTTTTTCAATTATTTTTCTGTAAAATAAACGGATATTTAAAAATTTATATATAAATGCCGGCAAACTTGCGATTTTGTACACTTTTTTTCACAGATGCTGTTTGCTTAAAAATTTTCGACCAATTGAGCGGGAAGACAGAGGTGAAATCTAGCGTTGCCATCTCGAGTAAACTAATACCGAATATTCGAGTACATACATATTTCCCATAAATACCCATATCTCAAGATAACCGCAGAACTCCACAGGCAAACACCGACGGCCTAACAACTGTCATTTTGACGAGCAATATGATTGCAAGTTTTTGTGTGTGGGCACTTTGACGTCTTGAAATAAGCATTTGCCGCATGACGCCACCAGACAACATTCTCCAAATTTCGGTGTTTAAAACCATTTAAATCTGAAAAAACTTGCTGAATAATTTCCTAAAACGTAATCATAAATAATCCAATAGGGTACAGATTTTTATTTTGATATAATATTAAAATTTCATCGATGTTACCACCAGCACGCTTTCTTTCAAATGAAAATATGGCTGTCAAACTATCAAATTGCCTGCAATAGATGTCCAGCAATAGGTTCATTCCTTATCTTTTTGGACTAAAATCTGAAAAGTGTCAAAATGCCAGAGCGTAAGCAAAATGCGCTCACTAAAAGAGAGTAACAGGAAAAGTAAAGGAACGCAAAAAACCAAATTTGTAGTCCAAAGAATGGCAACAACAAAACTAACGTCAAATAAGAACAGAAATGTATGTACAAAACACATTCACACAAGCACAAGCACAATAAACACTTGCTATATCAATTATTTTTTGCCTCCTTCCAATTTCAATTCATTTCTTTTACTTTTTACATTATTCTCACTTTTTGCGTATTCTTTAATTTCCGTTAATTTAAATTCAGTTGAGTTTGACACTTTTCAGGATTTTGCCAGAAAAAATTCTTCTGACTAAATCTGACTACTTCGGACTGATGAGAGTCGCTCTCACTGACTGTTGCTCTCTCATTTTTGCTGTCATTTCCGAGTTAAGGAACGCTTTTTGGACTAAATCTGACTACTTCGGACTTTTTCTGACTATTTCTGGGAGATAAGGAACGCGCATAATAAGTCCCCTTTCAGACACGTCAAATCTTGCTTTCAAGTCTGCTCGCTCGTTGGCGAAGGAGGCGGGAAGAGTGGGGAAGAGTACAGATACCTCCGTACCGTCAATTCGTTTCAAGTTTTCTTTTCTCTTTTGATCTTTTCGTTGCTTCCCATTTGGTCTGCGTTCAAACACGGAAACTCGAGTTTCTTATTATCGGCGATTTCTCTTTTGGTGTTGCCTTTTGCATTCACACACAGAAACTCTTTTGTACGCAATTGTTGTTGTCAGCTGTGAATCGCCAACTTGAATTACTCAGACGAATGAGAGCACAAAGCGTGTTTCCCGAGTACGGGCGACTCGGTACCCGTCCCCTTTCCTCGTCGCTCTCTCCCCTACAAGCTTCGAGTTTCCGCAACAAAAGTTTTCGTGTCTGAACGTCGACTTAAGAGCGAAATACACCACACAAGCGGTTTGACAAACCAAGCGAAATTTCCCTTTGCTTCAAGCCATTTGTGCTGTGTATGGGGGTGTTTGAAGGTTTGACAAACCGCTTGAGGGAAATTTGAGCAAAAATCAAAATTTTTTGATTTTCTGGCCGCCATGTTGATGTTTGATCAAACCGCTTGCGTTGTGTATAGCAAAATCGCCTCATTCGCAACGAAATTTTCACCGAGTAAGGACGTAAGAGAGGAAAATGAAAGAAAACCACAATATTTAGCATTGCGAACTGGAAGAAAACTAAAATTCTTTGCTTGAACGAGTCATGTTTGCATGGTGTATGGCGAAATGGGAAAAGTAGGTTTGAAGAATGTTTGACAAGCCGCTTGTGTGGTGTATTTCGCTCTTTAAGAACCAAGGACTTGAATTCAATTAAAGTTGACGCGTGTGGAAGCAAATAGAATCCCACGACAGTCGGGTCTACGTAACCGGAACGACCCAGATTTATATCTGGCCAAGGACTGTCACTCCAGCAACACTCCCCAAAAAGTCTTTGGGGAATTTGTATGCTGCTACAACAACAACAAAAGAGAATGCGAAAAAAATTGCTTTCAAGACTTGACGTGTCTGAAAGCGGACTAAGCGCTGACATTGCAGCCCATGAAAAAAGGCGGTCTCCATTGGAAATATATTTTGTGACATGGTTATCACGACATCAGTGTTTTCCTGTGGAGCTCAGTATATCTACTATATATATATACTATATACTGAGCTGTGGAGACAGGGCCTAATTAAGCTTTGGTTTCCTCTAAAAGCGTTGCCGTAAAGTTACGACCGCTATTTTACGTTACCGCTTTTGAGGGTCTGTAGGTGTTTTGTTATTTTTTTTTTAAATAAAAATATAGTTCATTCTTTAACAAAACCCGTGGAAATCCATGTTTCCAAATTTGAGTAGTCCACTTGCAAGGCGCTATGTAATTTTTTTTTATTTTTAGTTTTTGGTGAGTAACATACCAATATTTAAAGTAGTTTCATGTCCACTAACAATACAGTGCAAAATCTTTCGGCATAAATGCACAATACTACCAAATCTCGAATTAAAAAAATTCATACGGGGATCGATAGAGATCATTGAGGTGAGTGTAACGATGTAATTTTTTTTTTTTGGGAAACAACAACTACAACAATTATTAAAGGTCAAAGTTCAAATTAAGCATTTTCTCAAATTAATATTTCTCGAAAACCTCTTCAAGGAATTGGACAATTTTGATATCATTTGATAGAGAATTTAATTCTCTTTAATTTGTATACATATTTATTTAGCGCTTACGCAGAAAGGTGTTCTTTGCAAAAGGTGTTCAGCGCCTTTTCTTCACAACACAGAAAGAGAATTCTACTTTGTGAGGGTTATAATCCATAAGTGCGGCCGAAGGCCGCCTACGCAGAAAGGTGTTCTGTGCAAAAGGTGTTCAGCGCCTTTTCTTCGCAACACAGAAAGAGAATTCTACTTTTTGAGGGTTATAATCCATAAGTGCGGCCGAAGGCCGCCTACGCAGAAAGGTGTACTCTGCAAAAGGTGTTCAGCGCCTTTTCTTCGCAACACAGAAAGAGAATTCTACTTTGTGAGGGTTATAATCCATAAGTGCGGCCGAAGGCCGCCTACGCAGAAAGGTGTACTCTGCAAAAGGTGTTCAGCGCCTTTTCTTCGCAACACAGAAAGAGAATTCTACTTTTTGAGGGTTATAATCCATAAGTGCGGCCGAAGGCCGCCTACGCAGAAAGGTGTACTCTGCAAAAGGTGTTCAGCGCCTTTTCTTCGCAACACAGAAAGAGAATTCTACTTTGTGAGGGTTATAATCCATAAGTGCGGCCGAAGGCCGCCTACGCAGAAAGGTGTACTCTGCAAAAGGTGTTCAGCGCCTTTTTTTCGCAACACAGAAAGAGAATTCTACTTTGTGAGGGTTATAATCCATAAGTGCGGCCGAAGGCCGCCTACGGAGAAAGGTGTTTATACACAAAAACCCTGTATACCTTTTTTCCACATTAATTCCATTTTCGTGAAAACTATAAAAAGGTATATGTATAAATATGTATATCAGAAAGGTGTTCTTTGCAAAAGGTGTTCAGCGCCTTTTCTTCACAACACAGAAAGAGAATTCTACTTTGTGAGGGTTATAATACACGGAGAAAGGTGTTTATACACAAAAACCCTGTATACCTTTTTTCCACATTAATTCCATTTTCGTGAAAACTATAAAAAGGTATATGTATAAATATGTATATCAAATTAAAGAGAATTAAATTCTCTATCAAATGACATCAAAATTGTCCAATTCCTTGAAGAGGTTTTCGAGAAATATTAATTTGAGAAAATGCTTAATTTGAACTTTGACCTTTAATAATTGTTGTAGTTGTTGTTTCCCAAAAAAAA